CCTCCTTCCTAAAAGAATAAACATTCTTTGACATGTTACAACAGCAGTTTAGATGTGTCCCATCTTCACAGTCTGCCCTCTACCACGACTACCAGTGCTTCTGCTGCCAAACTTTCACTTCTGTGAACTAAGATGTTTCCTTCAAAACTTCTGCATTTCCACAATCCTGAATTTCCATGAAAGGGACTCTTATTAAAAGGCTGTAACTTTTTTTCATTATTTTGTGTTGTTGTAATTCAGGTACCTTCTAAGGTCACAAACCATTTGGATTTATTTCCTGTAATTAGGTCCAACCTTGCAACACGCTGAATACCCAGAACGCCCAATGTCTGTACCCCTGAGGATCAACAGAAGCTAACACTTGGAATTTCAGGGTGAGTCTACACAGCAGTGCTTAACTAGAAATAAGCTATGCAAATTGAGCTTCGTCAACTGTGTACCTTTTTTCAAAATTGCTTATTTCAAAATTGGAAGCATCTACACAGCACTAATTTCGAAATAGAGCACTCTCCCTCAGACTTCCTTTGCTCCTCATACAATGACGGTTACAGGAGTTGGGAGTAAGAAGTCCTCCAGCTTGACAGTATTTTGACACTATTTCTATTCCGAACTAACTACCTGCTGTGTAGATGCAAACTAAGTTATTTCAAAATAATGCTAGTTATTTCAAAATAATGTTGCTGTGTAGACGTACCCTCAGTGATCTAAGCTGTAGGCTGAATCTGTTTAACTATGAACAGCCTTTCAGCCAATAACTTTTGCTTAATGTATTGTAGGCAGAAAAGTAGAGAAGCAAGCATAGGTTCAGGATCCACAACCATAAAACAGACAAAAGTGTGTATCTGTGTGATAATGTAAGGGAGGGTTGAAAAAGAGCTTACAGACCTCTCCCATGCCCAGAAATTGTTTTGTTGCTGCAGTTTACAGACATATGGGAGGGAGCTCTGGAATGATTAAATGCAAAGCAAACTCCCCTCTTAATTCTTACAATAGTCTCTCACCAGTTTCAAAGAAGTCTGTTTTAAAAATACCTCCTAAAGCACAGCCTAATAATAAATATAGGGCCTTGAACATGGAATCCAGCCCACAGTTAACCATTCTGAGAGCATATAATTCTTAAATTTTCCTGACATCTGCATGTGTATATGCTTACCTCACCCATACTGATAAAGATTGTTTCTATATACTATAAAATTGCTTCCGTCTGCACAAATTTGTAATTTCATTAACTATTTTCTTCACAAAAGCAAGTATTTGCACAGTTTCTAGAATCCTACAAGTAGGTACTACAAATACAGGATGAAGGTTCTTTTAAAAAAATAAAGTGCACTGGTGCAGACCATAAAACAGTTATGTTCAATTGAAACTGAAATAAATAGAATTATGAAGCACAAGTTATGTTTTAGTATCTTCTTATAGGTCATTTTTATGACCCTACTCACACTTAGCAGTACCTATTCTCCACAAGTAGTTCCATTTAAAATCACTCAACAAGTAGATTCTGATACCTAGTATCATCAAAATGCCAAGATGCAATTTGATTTGTTATACACAGCAGAGAATGCTTGACAGAGAATATATATCAGTGCTTAACCACTGTCATTTGCCCTTCATAAATATATATATTAGAATATTTCATTTTGAAAACTAAACCACTGACATATAATTCTTACACAAATTCTCTGGTCCTCTTTAGATACCCTAGTTCCACAATGTAATCAGTTTTTAAATTGTAATTGATGGCCAGTCACAGCTTTCAGTATTTCTTAGCTACCACTGTGCCTACCTTTTCCATTTGCTATTTTAAAGTAAGAGTATTTTATATATTTCTTCCAGCTGGCATTTCAAATTGAAAGTAAATAAAGTAGTTAAGAACTTGTATAGTCACAGTTAAAAAGTATAGAAAGATACAGTTGGTTATCTTAAGTGGGCGGGGGGAGGGAGGGAAGACGTTTTGGAGGTTTTTATAAAAAAAACTAAGTCAGTTTTCAATATGACTGGCTTCACATGTGAAAACTCCAATCAACTGTGAAGCACTTTTCTTTGACTTTTTTTTTTCAAAACTTAGAATAGTGACATTAATATTCAGCACATGCTAGTGCTTTACCAAATATTTCAAATTACTGTTTCCTCTAAGAAAATACTAAAGAATGATACCTATATTTAAAGTTATTTATTTTAAATTAGCCACACAGTAATCACAACAGAGTCAAAGCAGGCACATTTTAAGACACCAGTAAAAAAAATAGAAGAAGTTGTGTCACTCGCAATTGTGCATTACAATACACCATGGGTATGATTCTCATTTTAACTACCTTTGAGACAGGTCTAAAAGATGAGGTCACTTCATATAATGTGGCATTATATTTCAAGCTTTACCACACTGAGCTATGGTCCAATTCAGATCTCTCAAATTAAGCACAGTCAGAGTAGGTCACTACCCGTATAGAAGACCTAACAAACACATAAGTACTGCAGGAAGTGATTGCAGTGATTCAGGGGAAATAGTTCCATCTACAAAGACAGCACTAAAACAATGCCTTAGCAGTGGAAGAGGAAACTTCACTGTTAGGAAATCCATCTGAAAATGAGACTGTATTAAAAAATAGTCTTCATTATGGAATCACAGACAGTGGTACAATGCATATGCACAAGAGGGAAGAATTAAGTTTTGACTGGGAACCTTAATTCTGGCACTTCCTAGCTTTTTGAATGCTTGACTCCACAACCCAAATGTTCTTTCAACATAAGTTTTGTGTAGTAACACATAAATTATGATATTATACAAAAGTGAGGGGGGTAAGGAATAAGAAGGTAATGGTACTCTATGGCATAAGTCACACCTCCATTAACCAGGACTCTGTGGTCCGGCAACTTCCATGATCCAGCAAGACCACTGATGTTCTGGACCACAGACTCCAGGCATAAGGAGGTCGGACTGCAGGACTCTGGCCCCTGCTGCCAGGTGGTAGTGGGGGGGCCTGCAGCAGCCATGGAGCCCTGGGAGTCCTAAAAGCTCCCATGGAGCTCCAGCGACTGGGACTTTTCAGTTTAGAAAAAAGGAGACTGAGGGGGGATATGATAGAGGTCTATAAAATCATGAGTGGTGTGGAGAGGGCCGATAAAGAAAAGTTATTTATTAGTTCCCTAAATAGAAGAACTAGAGGTCACCAAATGAAATTAATGGGTAGCAGGTTTAAAACGAATAAAAGAAAGTTCTTCTTCACACAGCGTATAGTCAACCTGTGGAACTCCTTGTCAGAGGAGGCTGTGAAGGCTAGGACTATAATAGAGATTAAAGAGAAGCTAGATCCGTGGTCCCCAACACGGTGCCCGCGGTGTCTCAACGAAAATCACCTGAGCTGGCCTAATACTTATTTTCTGATTTAAAATAAAAATAGAACAAAATAAAAATAATAATAAAAGCCTCTGTTGTAACACAGCACAACAATCAAGGTAAAAGACCCTAATTATTCTCTAACTTCAGTTTTTCTCATTCAGGCATTTAAACCAAAAACCAGAACCTTATCACAGAAATATAAAAAGTATAATTATATTCTTATAAAACCAATCTGACAGAAGCCCAGTGAAATAAAAAAAAGGGTTGTAATTAACTGTTAAATATTCATGCCCATTAAATATATGCAACAAGAGCTCTCCTCCCCTCCCTCCCAAAATGAAGTGATAACACTTGTAAAATTCTTATTGCTAATTAACTGCAGTGTGCAAAACTGACATGACAAAGTATAAAACCAATTGCATCTATTCTCCTAGCCTTGCCAACTTACTGATAATGGAAAAAGTTCAAGCACTGATTCCAATGTATTTGTCTGTCAAAAAAAATTCCCAAATCCCCTAGCTTACCTTGGGGTTTGTATAACTCTGAATGGTCACTTAAAGCAACTAAAGCTGGCCACTCTACAAAGAGAACTGCAAATGGTAAAATAACATAGGGGTCGCTGACTGACAGTTCATTAATACTGGATGGATGTCTACAGTTCCATTTTAGAAATCTGAAGAAATAAAAATAAATTACCTACATGTTTCAGTTGTGAGTGTGCCCCAAGGCCTCCGATAGGAGCACATTTCTATATATGTAGCAGTAAGAATAGCCACCTTCATCAGAATGTGCTGAGCATAGACATCTATGTCCTAACCTTAGTACCAGCCAACTCTTAGATGGTTATTTTTTCTTCACTAATGTACCTTTACCAGAGTGTGTAAGCGTTCAGACCCCAATGCCTGGGCAGCATGCAAAGTGCTTTCCACCTGTTTGACTCTCATGCACGCACCCTTGCAAGCAAGGGGGTGATCACTTACAGGTTAACCTCCATCACAGTGCTCAACACTGAGTTCAGAGTGGGGAGATGATCGTTCCCACCCCCGCACACACACACACACACACCCCCCCTTCAATGCCAGCTGACACAAAGGAGAGGCGAATATTTTTCCCGAGGTAACTTTTCCTCTTGGTTCTTTTTCCTTCTTATTCCCCTCCCCACCGCCTGGTGTGCGCGCATAACACGCGCCGGGCGCCCACACAGCCCACAGCAGCTCCAGGAAGAAAAATAAAATGGGGGGGATGGAAAAGACAAGGAGTCTGCCAGCCCCCCCGGCTGCCGGGCGGGGAGACCAGGCAGCTCCCCAGATGCCATTTTGT